CGAACCACAACTAGCACTTCCAGGATAAGGGCCCTTAGTGGTGGGCCCAGTCCCTTGGTGGGCTGCCCGCCTCTTGATCAAGATTTGGGGCTATAGAACTCCTTCCCAACTCCTCAAACCCTATAGACGCAAAATCGAGAGTTACACGGCTGCAGACTACAAAGCACCACATGCGGACCATATATCAACAACATTGCAAGAAAAGACTCACAGAACATGCAGCGCCCGAACGTCGCGGTTTTGTAGCAAGGCGCGGCTCCAGGTGTCGAAGACACTCACTGATTAGGTGCTCAACGTAGTATGGGACATGTGGCCATGGAGAAAGTCTGATGTAGACGCTATGGCTAGTTGATGGTCGCTGACTGGATCCTGAATGAAGTCATAGAGGTCCGGGAAGCGTGTCCGTAGTGATCGAAGGTGTCTTGTATCCGCAAAAGTGGAGTGCATGATTTCACACAACAGAGACGTCTTGCAGAAGTGAAGAACCTCGAAGAACGGCGGGACATACCCATAGTCTTGAGAAACGAGACGCTGCAAAAAACTGATCAGTAAATAGGCAGTGCAACGGCACCTATGAAGTTCATACCTGTTGGCCACAGTGTGGTAAGACTGCGACATGGAGTGAATCGGGATCTGAAGTGCGATCCGAACCACAACTAGCACTTCCAGGATAAGGCCCAGCCGGTGGCCCAGTCCCTTGGTGGGCTGCCCGCCTTCTTGATCAAGATATGGGGCATAGAACTCCTTCCACTCTCAAACCCTAGACGCAAAATCGAGAGGTACACGGCTGCAGACTACAAGCACCACATGCGACATATCAACAAACATGCAAGCAAACACTCACAGAACATGCAGCGCCGAACGTCGAGGTTTGTAGCAAGGCGCGGCTCAGGTGTCGAAGCCACTCACCTGATCAGTTGCTCCAACGTAGTAAGGACTGCGCCATGGAGAAAGTCTGATGTAGACGCATGGCTGTTGATGGTGACCTGGATCCTGAATGAAGTCATAGAGGTCCGGGAAGCGTGTCCGTAGTGATCGAAGGTGTCTTGTATCCGCAAAAGTGGAGTGCATGATTTCACACAACAGAGACGTCTTGTAGAAGTGAAGAACCTCGAAGAACGGCGGGACATACCCATAGTCTTGAGAAACGAGACCAATAAATAGGCAGTGCACCGGCACCTATGAAGTTCATACCTGTTGGCCACAGTGTGGTAAGACTGCGACATGGAGTGAATCGGGATCTGAAGCGTGATCCGAACCACAACTAGCACTTCCAGGATAAGGCCCAGCCGGTGGCCCAGTCCCTTGGTGGGCTGCCCGCCTTCTTGATCAAGATTTGGGGCATAGAACTCCTTCCACCCTCAAACCCTAGACGCAAAATCGAGAGGTACACGGCTGCAGACTACAAGCACCACATGCGACATATCAACAAACATGCAAGCAAAGACTCACAGAGCATGCAGTGCCGAACGTCGCTGTTTGTAGCAAGGCGCGGCTCAGGTGTCGAAGCCACTCACCTGATCAGTTGCTTCAACGTAGTATGGACTGTGCCATGGAGAAAGTCTGATGTAGACGCATGGCTGTTGATGGTGACCTGGATCCTGAATGAAGTCATAGAGGTCCGGGAAGCGTGTCCGTAGTGATCGAAGGTGTCTTGTATCCGCAAAAGTGGAGTGCATGATTTCACACAACAGAGACGTCTTGTAGAAGTGAAGACCTCGAAGAACGGCGGGACATACCCATAGTCTTGAGAAACGAGACGCTGTAAAAACTGATCAATAAATAGGCAGTGCACCGGCACCTATGAAGTTCATACCTGTTGGCCACAGTGTGGTAAGACTGCGACATGGAGTGAATCGGGATCTGAAGCGTGATCCGAACCACAACTAGCACTTCCAGGATAAGGCCCAGCCGGTGGCCCAGTCCCTTGGTGGGCTGCCCGCCTTCTTGATCAAGATTTGGGGCATAGAACTCCTTCCACTCTCAAACCCTAGACGCAAAATCGAGAGGTACACGGCTGCAGACTACAAGCACCACATGCGACATATCAACAAACATGCAAGCAAACACTCACAGAACATGCAGCGCCGAACGTCGCGGTTTGTAGCAAGGCGCGGCTCAGGTGTCGAAGCCACTCACCTGATCAGTTGCTCCAACGTAGTATGGACTGTGCCATGGAGAAAGTCTGATGTAGACGCATGGCTGTTGATGGTGACCTGGATCCTGAATGAAGTCATAGAGGTCCGGGAAGCGTGTCCGTAGTGATCGAAGGTGTCCTGCATCCGCAAAAGTGGAGTGCATGATTTCACACAACAGAGACGTCTTGTAGAAGTGAAGAACCTCGAAGAACGGCGGGACATACCCATAGTCTTGAGAAACGAGACGCTGCAAAAAACTGATCAATAAATAGGCAGTGCACCGGCACCTATGAAGTTCATACCTGTTGGCCACAGTGTGGTAAGACTGCGACATGGAGTGAATCGGAATCTGAAGCGTGATCCGAACCACAACTAGCACTTCCTGGATAAGGCCCAGCCGGTGGCCCAGTCCCTTGGTGGGCTGCCCGCCTTCTTGATCAAGATTTGGGGCATAGAACTCCTTCCACCCTCAAACCCTAGACGCAAAATCGAGAGGTACACGGCTGCAGACTACAAGCACCACATGCGACATATCAACAAACATGCAAGCAAAGACTCACAGAACATGCAGCGCCGAACGTCGCTGTTTGTAGCAAGGCGCGGCTCAGGTGTCGAAGCCACTCACCTGATCAGTTGCTTCAACGTAGTATGGACTGTGCCATGGAGAAAGTCTGATGTAGACGCATGGCTGTTGATGGTGACCTGGATCCTGAATGAAGTCATAGAGGTCCGGGAAGCGTGCCCGTAGTGATAAGGTGTCTTGTATCCGCAAAAGTGGAGTGCATGATTTCACACAACAGAGACGTCTTGTAGAAGTGAAGAGCCTCGAAGAACGGCGGGACATACCCATAGTCTTGAGAAACGAGACGCTGTAAAAACTGATCAATAAATAGGCAGTGCACCGGCACCTATGAAGTTCATACCTGCTGGCCACAGTGTGGTAAGACTGCGACATGGAGTGAATCGGAATCTGAAGTGCGATCCGAACCACAACTAGCACTTCCAGGATAAGGTCCAGCCGGTGGGCCAGTCCCTTGGTGGGCTGCCCGCCTTCTTGATCAAGATTTGGGGCATAGAACTCCTTCCACTCTCAAACCCTAGACGCAAAAGCGAGAGGTACACGGCTGCAAACTACAAGCACCACATGCGACAAATCAACAAACATGCAAGCAAACACTCACAGAACATGCAGCGCCGAACGTCGCGGTTTGTAGCAAGGCGCGGCATCACGAGCGTCATGAACTTCGCTGGCGTGGGCTTTGGAGGAACCGGTATCATGTAGTTGACCGGTGAGTGATGGAACTGCTGCGTAGGGTTTGGAATCGATTGATAATTGCCTGGCATCACCGGAAAATTGCTGCTGGAGTTGTAGCCCGAATTGTGTTGCCAGGATACCAAGTTGTTCCAATCCATGCCCTCCGAGACCTGATTGCCATTGTGTTCTTGTCGGCGTGCTTTGCGAGATTGAGGGGAAGGACTCCGATCCCGTCTGCGCCGTGTTCTGGATCTGTCACGATCATCCCGTCGAGACATGATGGCACAACAAACTCAACACCGCGACACCTCAATCTTGAGAGAATCGAATCCGACAAGATGCAAGTCAACGCAAGTTCAAGCCAAGCACAGATCAACACGCGGTCATGCAGCCAACAGCAGCAATTGTGAGACTTAGCTATGATCTGACGGCTGTCTTCCCTTTAGTGAAACCTCGTTCCTGGTTAAATCTGAAATTCCGCTGTTCTATGATAAGCACGTTGAGGTCAAATTTTCCGACAGAGTCGGCCCGGGGTCACACAATGGGTACACCCGAGGATTCCCCACGAATGGGGTGTACACACTTAAACTCCAGATGGAGGGTGCTAATCTTTCGAGTACAACTGATGAGTCTCGAGTACAACTGATGAGTCTCGAGTACAACTGATAAGTCTCTCATCGTTCGAGTACAACTGGTGAGTCTCGAGTACAGCTGGGGTTCAGCTGGTTTTGGAGAAAAGGGCAAAAAGGGGACCTTTGTTTGGGGTGGGCCCGCCAGCTGCCATGACAATGGCCCAGGCGCAGCCCCGCAGGTACGTTTGGACCCGGACACCGGGGGGCGTCTTCGTTGGCTGGAGACCCCCCGGGCCGGCTCCAGCCCCCTGCTACTAATTGTGGTGACAGGGTATTCTGCCACTCCGCACACACACACACACACTCAACTCCCCCGCCTTCCCAAAGCGTCGCACCCATGGGAACTTTGGGAGGCCAATTAGAAGTTGGAGTTTGAAAGTACCCCGTTTGAAAGTACCCCGGGGGCAATCCTGATGAAACGCCTATAGACAAACATAGACAACACCTGGACGGGTTGGTAGCAGAAACTCAAACTTGCCAACCTCCGAAAAACAAGAAGCAACAAACGGGAAGTGCCTTGGTTGCTCTCATGGAACCCACCCTGAATCACAACCAGGGGATTGTCTGAAAATAGGGGTATCCCAAAAGCTGGTGGTTGTCCTTTTGGTTTCCCTTTAAACCAACCCCAAAAGGTGAAAAGGGTACCGAGCCTCAGAAAACGACGCACCCATGAGCTGGTGCTTTCGAGTCCGGCCATGACTTGGCCAAACCGATCCCCTTGGCCTTCAAGTGGAAGTTGTCCAATCGTGACGCTCCACAAAGCGGCCTTTTCTTCTGCACTCAAAGGAGACGCTTCCTGGAACACGCAAGTGGGAACTTTACTAAATTCCCGTAGATCTACTTACATATTAAAGCGAGGGGTCCGGCAAACATTTCAGGGGATCTCAAAAACACCCATTTCACCACGCAACTTGGAGGATCTGTGTTTCATGGACGGCCTGGTTCGAAACATGGCTCAATCAAAGCGAAAGATCACTAAGGCTGGCACGTTGAGAAGGAGCCGTCACTCTTCTGAGTGCCTTCCTCGGAGCGATGTGGCTGTCGCGTTCGTCATGGTATGTCTTCTGTTGCGGGCACCCCCGTTGTTGTGGAAAAAGGACAACCAAAAGGAAAAACGAAGCCATTGGGTCAACAAACCCAAATAACAAATCCCGAATCAGTTGGTAGGTTACCCCAGTCATGCCATCCTCCAACTGGTGCAGGAAGTTGTCCATCCACAGAAACAAAAAAGCGAAAGGACCAGGTCAAATTCCTTTCGCTTAAACAGACTGATTGCACCCTGCGGTCACCCCCGCGCCGTGCATTTCCCCAAGTAAGTTGAAGGAAGCGCTTATTCGCGGATTGACTGATCGGATGTGCGTGGTGTCTCGCTTATTTTGTTGAAATCACCGAGTTCCAACAAGTAGTGCTGCCGGGCAGATCGATTTAAATGAGTGTTTGAGCCATGCGGGCACAAGCGGGTTCCAAAAAAGGGGGTGGCCCCCCCTTTTGGATAGTTTTAAAGGGGACCCAAGCGGAAACAAGCCAGGGGTCCCATTGAGAAACATCCTGAAACGCCTCGGTGGTTGCTCCAATGGGAACCCCAGATCTAAGCACCCCTGCTTTAAGTGTAAATCGTGGTGCTGGTGTCCCCTTTTGGTGGTTGGGTTCAGACCACTGTTGGAGTGAAATACCCCCCCACCCCTATTTAGAAAAAAGGACAGGATTACAAATCCGGGGTGAACATTCATTTAAAGGATTGGCGATGCCTCTGGACCGCAAAGCCAAAAAATAAGGAGCGTCTTGTGTTCTCGACTCGGGCAAACCAAAATTATTTTCTAGGTGGGGGGGAGCAAGAAGGAAAAGCTCCACCTCGTTTGTCAAGTGGGTTTCGGAGTGCCAAGCTACTCCCATGTTTAGAAGAGCCAATCAAACAGGTGGACAAGGTGGAAGACCCCTCTCTTGAAACATTCGCCGCTCAACTTCATGGTGTGAAATGGGTGAGGGTCATAATCCTAGCAGAACTACCCAAAACCCGTGACAAACAATCAAAAGAGCAGAAAGCTGTCCGCCTCTGTTTTTGGCAAGCAGTCTGTCCCGTACTATCCTCTAAAAACTAGTGTTCCCTGAAAAATCATCAGAAACAACCCAGCAAAGAGAAACTTGATGACCATCGGCCCTTCCAACAACAAAAAACTGGCCCTCACAAAGGGGCCTATAACTCACGTGCCCGAGCCTGGAAATAACACTTGATCCTGACAACACATGAACCCAAACTTTGTAACTGAGAGAAGAGGGAGGGGCAAGTCATGCTTTTCGCCGCAACGCGCCTCTGTGCAGACTTCGGGATTCCCCTTGTTGTCCATCTAAAACATAACCCCGAAAGAACAGCTCACAGACATGCCCAAATGGGTGTCCCTTTTTGTTGGATTGGAACAAGCTTTAAAGGGAAACCAACCGAAAACCGAAGCCCATCTTAGGGCTCCAAATCCTTGAGACAAACCCGGGGGACAGAACTCGCATGGGCCGCCCGGCATGCAGAAAGAGGGAGACCTTCACCTTGCAGCCCTGAACAAAGGTCGCAAGGCCTCGGAGGCTCGCGGCTTGGAGGAACGCAGGGTGAAAGTCCTGGTGGTTCGGTGGAAGTTCACTAGGTGTTTCGTTCACAGGAATCGCTTCTCCTAAACTTGCCCTATGTCCTTCTGGTCTCCCCCTGAAATACCAACCAAAAAAGGGGCCGGCAGTTTGAGAGAACTCCCACACGTTCAAAGTGGTTATAACCCCTGGTTTGCAGAAGGGGCAGGGGGGGGGGGTTGAGACTTACCATCTGGCCTTTTTGCCGTTTGAGCGCCATAACGCGGGGCTTAAAGAAGCTGGCAGGTGACTGCCCCCTACCAAAAAATATCCCCCATCTGCTGCTACCCTCAGAAGGGCACTGGGGCAACCCCGTCTAGTTTGTCCTTTGCACCCCATTCAGTTGCTCTCCAGGTTGTCAGATGAACCACCATTGCTAGGAACCGAAACGTGGGGAAAACATACAATATCTGGCCCTCCGAAACGGTGGTTTACATCTTGGTCTCTCAAAAGCCACAACAAAGGTGTACCAACTCCAAAAAATTGTCACCCCCAACTGCTTTCAGCTTCTCCGATCTCCCAAAAAGGAAACCGCGCCAATTCCGTTCCGTGAGGGCTGTTTGGTTGAAGCGGCATGGGATCTCAACGTGGAGTGAGTTTTGGCTGTTTCTGGTTGGAGTCAAAGTTGGCCATGTCCCTTTGATATACTTGGGGCCTGACTTTGAATGAGCTGCGAGAAGAATAAGCCGTGCGCCCTCTGTGATGGCTACGAAGGCAAAAGCAAATCGACTTCGCTTGGAGGGTTTGCATTCCAGGCAAGCCAGAAACACACCGAGCTCATTTCGATGGCTCTGAACTGCTGCCAAGGGAAACTTGAAAAGAAGAAGCCGACCCCATCTGAACCGTGAAATGTCTTGAAACCAAAAGGAAAGCCACCTCCTTTCGCTGGATTTACAGAAAGCCCAAAGAAAGCACCAACCCTATGTCCCGTGTGGAAATCAAAGGCTCCCTTGAAACCAAGGGGAAAATGAACAAGATATCAATCACTTCAGCACATTGGAAGACTACAGCCTGCTATGCCAGGGGAAACTATGTGGCTCAAGAAGACATTCCCAGCTTGCACGCAGCTTTTTGAGCCGTGCCGCCACACGGGCCCCGTCTGAGGTCCGAGCTGTGGCGCATGCTGCAGAGATCCGACAAGCCCATCCTCGAAATGCGGGCGAAACCCGGGTTGTCAGCCTCCCCAGATATCTAGGGGTCAAAAAACCGGCCGTTGTGCCTGGGTTTTTGTGAATTTAGAAAGAAGGATTCCTGGACAGAATGGGGAAGGTACTCTTAGAATATATGGGTGCTTCTCACAGTTGGTGACCCCCAATGTCCTGTTAGAACCCAATCAAAAAGAGGTGTCCAGACCCCGAAATTGCTAGTTTCAACCCAATTAGAAGAGGGGTCCCCTATTTGGAGACACACCCAGACAGCGTGGGTGACCTAAACTTTCCAACCAAACTATCCAGGACACCTATGCCCCATAGTTGGTGGCTTGGATTAGTGGTTTGGAGGTAGGGGGTCCTATGGTGTAGGACCATGTGGGGATGGACTCTGGCACCGTGTGTATGACTAAGTGTGTTTTTGAGGGTCCCCTCCAGCTGGTGAGGTGTTCTGGGGGTTATTTCCCATTTGCCATCTACAATCTACAAGGGCTCAAATAAGCCGTCAATTTCAACAACCAATTCAGGGTGGCCTAAGAAAAAGGGTAGGGTTTCTCGTTGAAGGGAATGCAAACAAGAAACACAGCAGATGTTGCGGGCTCCTAAACATCAGGAAAGATCCAACAGAGTGGTGGAGACATAGGGATGGATCAACGCCACCCCCACAAGTGATCCGGATTCCGAATCCAAAATTAAGTGGGTTGCGCCCAGCCTAGGAAACAACAAGGTTAGGGACCGCCGCTCCCCTTCCACGCGCAACACCCTCATCTGAGCAGCTTCAAGCATATTTCGGGGTTGCAAAACTATGTGCGGGAGGGTAGGGAGGGGTTGTAAAGTTAGGCATTGGCTGACAGGTTTGGCATGGGCGGACCCTTCCGGCCAAGCATGCTGACGCTATCCGTGAGGCGTCCGATATCCCTGATGGGAGTGCCAGCCACTAGGCACTCTGAAAGCAAGCATCCGCTCTTTGAAGTACATTGCACCGCCACCACCATGTTTTTGCGCATCAAACCGTGCAGCATGCGTGGCCGCCTTGATCGCCAGCTTCATCGCCAGCTTCATCGCCATGCTGATCTGGTCTTGGCAAAGGGCGTGCTGGTCGTTCTCCACTGATGACAGCCGACCCTCCGCTTTGCTGGGTACCTTGCTTCGGCTCTGGTCCGTAGGCAAAACTCCGCACGCAATCGGCGTAACAGCTCATAGCCATTGGCCGCCCCCAACATTACGCCATCAGGCTGTTGCTTCCGCTTCTACATGGACTTCACACGGGAGTGGGAACCCAAACAACGTTAGCACTTGATTGGTGAACCCCTCTGATTAAAGACGCCCAGTTTTCGCAGCCGACGACTGCCAGCCAAAACTACTTTGAAGGCACCCACAAGGTTTGCTCTGAATTTTTGGGGGGGCACCTCCCACAAACCCCTCTGACTAAAGACGTCCTTTTCCGGCCCAAAACAAAAGGTCAAATTACCAAGCTATTGCCAGTACTTTTGCCAACGCTAGCTCCTTTCATAGTGTCAAGGGTTGCCATTCCAGCGGAAACAGCAAATTTGTCATAGCAATTTGTTCAAGAAACAAGGTTTGACAAGCTCGGGGGTCCCCTTCAAGGCTGCCCCCCCGGCCAGAACGGGGTCCACACAAACCTCGGAAATCGTCCAAATCCGGTTTTCCCAAACCTTGTCCACCTCGAGAAAGGGGGTTCTTCCTTTGAGGGGGTGTTTCATTGGAAAGGTCCCAAATCTTTGAGCTTTTGACCCGTGTCCACTTCACCCCGGCCCGACTCCAAGTCCCAGGCTGGCCATAGGCCTGGTTCCTGGCAACCAGCTGGGAAGCTGAAAGAAAGGCAGAAAATATGTTCGGACGCCAGAACAAAAGATGCCACGCATGGGGACCCCGTGAAAGCCACAACGGAGCTTTCTGAGGCTTCAAAGAACTCCAGTGGCCGTGTGAGTGTTTTGTGTTTTTGTTTTTTCCCCGCTGAAGGGGACGTCGATTGAAGCATCTCCCGGCGAAACAAGACCAAGAGCTGAATCTTGGGGATTTGGATGGTGTCGTTTCTTGGGGATCTGCTCAAAGAAAACCTCAGCCCTCAGGCCTCACCCAGAGGTTCACTCCCCAAACCACAAAATCCAAACCACCAATCCAAGCAACCACTTCAGGGATTCGGTGGTTTTCCTTGGTTTCTCTAACTGGGGTGCCTTCCAAACAGCCACCCGCGCAGCCACCTGAGCGTTCTTAGATTTCCTTGGGTTTCACCCTGCTTGGAAGGAAACCAACGATACGCATGGGGATTGTCACCTCCCTTGACCGCAAAAACGTGCAAGATCCCTTTGGCTAGGGAGTTTCGACCATTGGGACACGTGAGCAACAAGATTGCTGACTGTTCCGTGCCCTCGTTCCCGTCCAAAAGCCTGCCGCTACCACACGAGCAGCTTGCTACTTGTCAGCACCTTGTTCGACCCGCCGCAAGAAGCCGCGCAAACCACGCACGCGCGGCCTATGAATGACTGCGCTTTCGTCTGCTCTTCTTTCGGTCATCTCGTGCCATGCAGCCACTGCTTGGCCAAAACTGTTTCTGCCCCATACAAAGCACAAAGCAGAGCTCAAGACATCACGCGAACCAACAAAGCACGATACAACAAAGTTGCTTCCAGCATCTCATGTGAACAGTGAAATAGATATCAAGTTGACCCAAAGTGTCCTTCGAGTTCGTCCGAAACGCTTGTGTCTTTTTCAGCAAGATCCCTTCCTGGAGGCCCCCATGGGCACCTGCAAGGTGCTTCTTCCCCCTCATGACGGCCTGCTCAAGTCCCAAAAGGGTCCTTTGCTTTCTGGGCAGATGTTCTAGTTCGCACACCCACAGCAATTCTCCAAGCCAAGAACCTTCTGGGTGAGCGCCTGAAATGTGTCGCGACAAAAAAAGAGCCCAGACCTTTGCCACACATTTGGGTGTGTCATTTTTTAGGAGACCCCCTAAAATGGTGTTCCTGTTGGTTTTCCTTCAAACCCAACAAAAACTCCAAATAAGACACCCATCTCTTCAGCCCCGTGCAGTTCACAAAACCGCCAGCAGGACACTTGCTTTACGCACTCGTCCACCAGCGCGGACACGCCCTCGCCATCACCTGAATGCGCCAAAATCGGGTCGAGCGGTTCCTGACGCAGCTTGTACTTGTTATTTTTGACTGGCGGTCGATTGAAGGAAGAGGGTCAAGCTATCCAAAAGAAGCGTTTTTTGGGCCCGTGAAGTTCAATGCCTCTCGAGGGAACTCGCTTAGTAGCGGCAAAAAGGTGTCGTCTCAAACAGCCTCAGCTGGAATGCCAAACTTCAGGGCTGCCTCAACAGATGGGCATCGGAAACAAAAAAACAACTCTGAACACTATTCTTTGGGATGGAATGACACCCTCATAGACCTGATTGATGAACTGCTACCATCCTCCAATCGAAACCGAGGTCCAACCCATGTAGCTTCCTGGTGGGCGACAAGTTTGTGTGACCTCGTGGCCAGCAGAACTAGAATAATCCGATAGGAAACTCAATCTAAGCAGGTGATGGTTCAAACCAAACGGGGCGAACTCGGAACTCCAAATTTAGGGTGAACCACTAAAGTCAAAACACAACACATGAGCGCCGCCCAGAATCCATTGAAGCTTGTAGCTGTACCCTGTGTGAAACCCACAAACTGAATCACCTAGATGGCCATGGGATGCTTGTGTGTCTTTTGGTTCTTTGAGGCTGGACTCAGAGTTCGGAAGGCTTGCTTTAGGGAAGCTGCTCTGAGAGTTTCGAGTGGGGAGAGGCTCTGAACGGGGCGAGAGGCCAAACGGTCAAAATCTACATCTGCCCTGGGCAAGCATCCAAAGCCGGAAATGTACTTGTGCTAGGAGAGGTATAGCCAAGCCGTATTAAAATCGGTCAAAACAATTTGTGGCCAAAGGAAGACCACTCACGTGCCCAAACATACACCAAGCACATGAACCAGGCCAGTGGGTTGCAAACCAAGCCCCCCCCGAACCCGCAGGAAGCTCCGATTCTGCAAAGTTTGAGGACATTTTCTGGGGTAGGGCAGTGCGATCTCTCCCAAATCCAGGCAGGGTGTCCCCAAGTAATATGGAATGCTTCGGACGAATCCGGAGTGTATTCAGCCTTTCAGGGAGGAAAATGATCTATTTGGGGGGCTCGTCTTACTTCGAAGCTAAGTCTATTTTCTAGCACGGTAACTTGGTGGGTGCGCCGCACGCTCCATGTCATCCAACCCCTATGCGACAGTAGATGAGGCCGCGGACAGTATGCGTTGCTTTGCGACGGACATTAGAAAAGCGCATGTCCCTCGAACGTCCTGTGAACCCTACGCACTGGTGAGGTAAGCAGGTTTCTTTGCTCGGTCCGTTGGGCGGTGTTGGGGCACTAGCGCTGTCCGAAAGCATTCTCGCGTGTGAGAGAGTCAGGGGCTCGACGGGCTGACGGTTTTCGTTCAGATCTCAATCCACATTGCATCCCCCCTGTGCACCTGAGGCCATTTGGATGTGTCCTTTGTGGAGTTGGTACCCCTTTTTTGGTCAACCGATAAGCCCTCAGTCCACATCCCTCTGTCCACCTAAGGTCATTTGGGCGCCTTTTCCGAGGGTACCCCTTATTTTGCTTTGAAGGAAAGCCAACAGGAAAACCCACCCATTTTAGGGGGCCCCCTAAAAACACGACGCACCCATTTGCCCCCTCGCCACGTTTTTCTTTTTCACATGAACTCCCGACTTGCGGCGCCCGCCTGCCAGGCGCCTCAGCTCCTCCAGGTGGTTCGTGGTGACATCCACGATCTCCTCCGGGAGATGGGCATTTTGAACTCACCTGAAAAGAAACAGACCGGGTGTTGGTGGGGATGTGATTTTAACATGAAAAACACATGCACGAAACCATGGAATTCGCAGTGTTTTCTGATTTTTGCAGCGCTAGCTAAAAACTACATCCCAGAGAGAGCACCCCTTCTGAAAGAAAAATGCCTAACAAAGGTGACGTTGAAAACCAAGGCGCAACAGAAAGCAACGGAATCGAGCCCCGCGTATCACCCGTGTTCCTTTTTCCCCGTCAAGCGAACATGCCCACGGTGCAATCTGGGATCATGTCCCCGCTCCCGAGGGGAGGCTACCGACATCAGCTGCAGCTTGAAGCCCATGATCATCAGGTCGAATCTGAGAAGGTCCAAGTTGGCGGAAAAGGGACCCCGAGATGGCGCAACCGTGGTCCCTTTGGCTTGCCTAAACCAAAGAAGAGGGTTCCCCCCAACAAGGAACACAAACTCAAATCACAAAGGGACCACAATAACCAGCAACGTTCAAGGGCTATCAATCAAACGGTACCCCGAGTGCAGAAGTTTACAACACGAAACCTACTAACGCGTCAAAATGGGGGGAGGATCTCAAAAATGGGGGGGGGGGGGGATGTTGGTGTTCCATGTGTTTCCCTTTAAACCAACCCCAAAAAGGCGATCCTCAAAAAAAGCGCACTCACAATAACCAGTACCTTCCAAGGAATATAAAAATGGTACCCACAGTGAGCAGCAATATGTAATATGTAAGACTACCCTTCCTCCAACTACCACAGCATTTGTAGGAGGGTACCCGAAAGATCAATTTCCTCTCTAATGGACCCTCTGTGAGCTGCCATGTTAGCGAGAGAGAGATTAATCGGCACCGGGCGATCAAAATGGGTGGACGCCGTGGGAAGCGCTCGAGCTCCGCGCAGTTTGCCCATGGAGGACTCGTTCAGCCTCGGAAATTTCCGCATGCGGCCAGCGGAACTTTGCTTTGGTGGGGTCTAAATAGGAGGTGCGAAAACACATCGAAAAAAGCGCCACCTGGTCTTCGGAAAACAAGCAATTGGCCAGCACTTGGCCAGATATGCGTGCTGTATCAGGAGGTGCTTCTGCGTGAGGTAGTGGGCTTGCAGTTGGAGGAAGAACCAAAGGCACCCAGAAAGTACGGTCCACATGTTTCTGCATCGTGGATCTTTGTGATAGTGAATTCGCGTTTCGGGTTGAGGTGTCAGAGCCATCCCCAAACGCTTCTTTCAACCCTTGTGTTCTCAGGTTGTGCGTCTTTTCTGGAGGGTACCCTTGTTGTAAGGGAACCCAAAGCAAGCTCACAAATTCTTCGCCCCCGCCACTTTTCAGACGCTCCCCGTTGTCAAACCCTCATGCCGCCCTCATGGCTGAGGCTTCCGCCGCATGATGGAGGAGTGCGCAAGGCGGTCGAAAATCTGGCGGGTGGACTGCAGAGAGTAGATCTCCTGACCGAAAAGTCTCGCGAAACGGGGGGTCGTTGTGTGTGTGTGTGTGTGTGTTTTCCCCTTTGGATATCAGCCAACGGCTCAAACCCCCGAATCCAATCCAAACCAACTCTGGGCCACCTGGAATTGAGTGGTGCCCAGAAAAAAGAACCTAAGTTGCCTGCCCGGAAGTTGACAAACCTTGGTGGGCCTTGACTAGGATGAAGAAGTCTACCAACAGAAAGCATAAAAAGTACTTGCCGCCTCAAAGCCCAGGGCGAGTGTTTTACCTTCTTGGGGTTGAACTGACTTTTGTCAAGCTCGAACCTTTTGGACCCTGTGAGGATCTGTCTGGGCAACCAACCTTTCGCGTAGGAAGCTGCCGAGTCCCAAAGTTCGAACACGCCCTCCGAAATTCTTGGGAAAAGGCGTCCAACATCGCTGAGCGATTTAACCGGTCCACGTTCCCTTGAGGATCGCCTCGGATCCCGCCAGGTTCCACGCTTGAACAAGGAATCTAAGCATTCTCATCAACAACACAAGAAACTGCAGGAAGACGCAGGCAAACTTAGAACAAATGCAAAAGCCATGTCCCCCCACAGCTTGAAGAGTCCTGCGGCTTAAAGAGCTCTTCAATGAAGCGCGGGTAGTACATTGTTCGCACCTCGGCCCCAAATCGTTCGGAGGAAGGTGGTGGCTGCATCTCTGGTGGCAGGTGTTTGGTAGGCATTGCTAGGGCGCAGTCCGATGTTGCGGGAGTCCCTACCCAAAAGCCATGGCAAAGAAACAAAGGGCGGACAAGCACAAAGGCCCAAATAATTGGAATGGGGCTGTGGGATATGTTAAAACAATAGTCATGATTGTTCAACTGGTAGTAGTTATTTTGCCCCAAATCTTACCCTTGCTACCTTGATTCCCTGTTTTTGCAAAATACACCTGGTTGAGGGATCCTCGTTTTGAGAACCCTTTGGGATTTCAAATTGCTACTCTGTGAGTTGTTCTTTTCAGCACCCCCCCTGCACCCCGCCCTTTCGTTGGAGAAAGTGGACCCAGTTGGTGTAATGTTGACAACAAAGCCAACCCCAGTTTATTAAAAGGCTCCAAACGTGATGATTCCCTACTAAACCCAGGGATTGATATGGGGTCAAAATTAACGTGCAGAACCCTCTCAAAACGCGAAATCCTCAATGGCCATAGATCAATGTAAGGCATGAAATTGGTGGCATGCTCACATGAGCCATGGTTACAACTCCGTTGGCCACAGTGATGATATTGGGTCTGTCTCAAAATTAGGGAAGCAATCTCGGGGTGGCGGTGTTCCTTTTGCTTTTTTGCAAAAGTGGCCCGAAAAGAAGTACCCATGACCATCCATTTCGTCAAACTCCGGCGCACGCGCCAAAAAACAACTCCCAGGGTACTGAAAACCTTTACAGTTGTCTAAGATCATTCGCTTTAGGAGCTGGATGCCAGCAAACCGGGTTGCCATTTGCACACCTGGAACCATTCGGTACAGGAAAAGCTGACATCGAAGCGACCTGAGACACGAAGATGGTGGTCAGGCCGCCCCGAAGTTTCGGCTTTCGGGATCTGTGCGCTAACAGACCCGCGAGCGCCCCACCACCATGGAGGCTCTGCAGGGGTGACTGGGCTTCCCCTTCAAAAGTTGCAATTGACTGGTGGTTTCCCACTTTTGGAGGTTCCAAAAAGGGAAATTGAGGAAACCCTGATCTACATGGTCCAGAAATGTTCTTGCCGAACCCATATGAAACAGAACCACCTAAAATTGGGCGCTCACACACGGGTCTGTCAAAATAAGAAACCCCTCCCCCACTTTTTGGGTAGGTTCCGTTTGGTTTCCGGCATCGAGCATCAAAATTAGACAAAACCACACGAGAGCAAATGGCCCCCAGTTGAGGATTTTGTTTGTGGGCTGCTCAATGGGGTTTGCCTCATGTGGGAATCCACGAAAGTTCTGCCCTGAGTCCTCTGGGCCGTGCGCCACGTCGCACAGCACCTTCTGGCCCTTGCTGGAGGGGATCTGCTGTGCTTGCCTCGAAGGCCAAGTGCCCCACGTCTCAGGGCCCGCAAGAATTCTTGGGGCGGTTGGGCTGTGTAGGGGGGGTTGTTGGTTGCTTGTTCTGTGTGTGTGTGTGTTACATTATGTTTGTTTGTGTGTGTGTGTGTGCGTGTGTTATTTTTGTCTTCTTCTTATTTTTTTGGGGGGGTGTTTGGGGGCGTTCTTTTTGGGCTTTTGGGCTGCTAATCGTTCAAAGCCAAAATCCACCCCGGTATCAGGAACATGCATGCCCACTTCATCCGCGCCGTGTTCATTTGTGACAACGACCTTGGTCAAACCAATCGTCCATTCTTACACAGAAGCCCTTCTACAAGCACCCCTCCTTTTGGGATACGACGTCAACCCCTGACTCAAAAAGGCTCAGATGTTCATACACCACGGACACTGAGGCTCCCAGCAAGCGCTGCGCCAAGATGTACACCATCTCACCGCCCATGTTGACGATGAGAACCTAGCGCCGGATCTCTTCGTAGGAGTTTCTCACGGAGATACCCCTGCCTTGGGCAACCTGTCTATCCATTTCCCTTGCTCTCTGTGGGTGCTGAAAACGTCTCCTTTTAGGGCAATTGGCTGGACAATCCCAACCGGCAGGGATGGGAGCTTGTGGGGCAGCTTGGTGTGGCCTACGTGGGTGTTTGTTCCAAGTTACCAAGTGTTTGGTACCCACTTATTTGTCCCCATTCAGTGGGGTTGACCTTGCTAGGGAAAAAAACCAAAAAAAAACAGCGACGGTCCGCCCATGGCAAAGAGTGTCCAAGTAAGTCTTCCCCGCTCCTGGTACCTTCTCTCCCTGCCTCCCCCAAGTTTCTGCTTCTTGGCTCTCCCTGATGCATTTCTTGCCACCTGGCCTGCCATTTTGACCAGAAGGAGCCATTCGGAAGGCAAACCCTGTAAGGCAACCCTGTGAGGTGTCGGTGGCGAGAAAGCAAACAAGCAAGGAAACCATTCCTTTCGCTAGAGATGGCCCCTCTGAAAAAGCCAAAGGTGCCTAAACCATCCGAATGGGACTTCAGGTGAGCCATCCTTGCCCCCATCCTTGCCCCAAAGGGCGGATCCCTCTGGCAAATTACTTTGGGCCAGTCAAATGCCACATATCTTAACACGCGGCACAAAACTGCAACATCCAAAAAACACTGCGAAGTCTACAAACTCCAAATTGGTCTGTGTCAAAATCGGGGCACCCGCAACAATCAAAAGAAACTAAAAGAAGCGCAGCCCCTGGAAAACGCCCCAAGTTGGCACCGCCGGGCGCCGGGGCCGGCATGGACATCAGGGCGCCGGCCGCCATGGCCCCTCAGCCAGGTCGGGCGGGGTTCTCAAAATAAGGGGACCGGGTGTCAAAGGGAAAACAAATGGAGGCCAGTCCATTTTGGGATCCCCGATTTGAGACATGCTCATGTGGGTAGGAATGGTATGCGGGATGTTTTTCGATGTTCTGTTCAGATTGGTGTCCGGGGAAGCCAAAAGGAAAGCCGCCAAGCTTGTTTTTTCAGCGGGGGCAGGGGAATATGGTTGATTCCCCAAATTCTGCCCTTGTGCCACCAAGGTTTTTGTCACGTGAGAGCGGTTTGTTTAGGTGGGTGTGATGACAAGGGTACGTGTACTTCCTTCAATCCGTCAGGTGTTGACAGCAAGCAAACAAGAACAGACTCACCAGAGATGGCTGCTTCAGCCTCGCGCGAATCTTGAGTGCACACAGATCCCCCCAAACAAAAACACACACAAAAATAAAGAAAAGAAATGTATTGAAAAAATGGAGCCGTCTTAAAGAGAGGTGCCCTGATGGCCTCTCCTTCCATGTGGACATGTCCATTGGAAAGTAGGACTTGACGCCCGGAAGGTTCCTATCCTTTGAGCCTTCAGCCTTCAGCCTTCATGTTGACATTGAGTAACTGTCCGGGTTGTATCAGGCAGGCTGAGTGGGGATTCCATTCTTGCAAGGAATCAGCCACGATATTACTCTTTGTTTTTGCTTTTTTCTGGTAGCCAAATCAAGTTCGAGCCCCAGAGGGCTCCCAAACTCCCAACAAGACACCCTAGGTCTGCGAGTGGGGTGCTTGGACCCAGAAAGGACTGGGGGACAAATCAGACTCCTCACTTTTGCAGGAAATGGAAAATCTGGGCTTCCCCAGAGCTTCTCCAACAACCCGATCATTCCCCATGCACCGATTCGAACGATGCAAATCCCGATGCAAACGGGCCCCGCCTTTCGACTCAGGGCCCTCGCTTCGGGACTCCGCTCCTCCGCTCCCGGGGACTCCGTCGCTTCGGGTCTCGAGCCGAGTTTGTCTGCCGCGTGAGCGACGCTCGGCGCGCTTGCGCGCTCCGCGGCACGGGTGGGACTCGGACTAGCGGCACGAAGTCATGTCTTGCTTCTGGTCCAACGGGGTTCCTATTGCCAGAGTGGGCAGCTTCACGAAAGCCGACTTTGATCAAAGCCCCTGGCAGGGAGTCTTTGGGAACACCTGGTCATGCCAGCTACCAGCTTTAGCAGCCAAATTCATGCAGAGTTGCCCACGTGTCCAACCTAAAGACATCACCATACCAACAAGAAAATATCTTTGAGTTGGCAAGCCAAACGCGATGTTGACAACAAGCAACAGGCACAAAAGCGATAAAAGAGCTGAGTCGCCCCCATTCTCCACAATCTTCGCGACTCCTGACCTTCCTATTCCTGGACGGGGTCGGTTCGACTCAGTTCGAGATGCTCATCCCATTTCCTGCTGAGAACCAGCAAGTTTGGCAAGAAACCAGACGGTGGGGAGGAAGGGGCCTCTCTTTTGTGAGGGCAAAGGCCCCCGTTGTTGTCACCACCTGAAACAAGAGGGTTGAGCATGGAGAAACCAATGGGCAAATGAGCTTTCACTCACTTCCGGGGTGGATGGGCAGAAAAAGGTTTGTTTTCCACCAGAATCGTCTTTCCCCAAGAGTTGAAAGTCCACGAACTCAGGGAACGAGTTCAACCAAAGGGGGGATACCTTTCCGGGGGCCGAAAAGCCAACGTCGGAGGCCGAAATCGATGCCGGCGCCACCCGCACCGCGCGCGCGGGGCCTGAGTCACGTGTGACTGGGCAACTGGGAGGATGCTGGGCGCATGGTACTCAGAACCCCGGATCGTCTCCGGATTCTGGTGGATGAATGGGCCATGAGGCATAGTTGTCCTTTTGGTTTAATAGATGGGTTTTCCTGGTAAATGGAGCACACCCCATCTAAAGGAGGCACCCACCTATTTCAAACCAAACTAACCTAAATGGATCACCTATATCAATGGGTTTTGGGATCCCCTGCAGTTCGTGAGAAATTCCTGAGTTCCATGCTCTAGAACCCTTGGTTGATTTTCATTGGGGTCCCGGATTCCCCCTTTAGGGATTCAGACCACTTATGACGGCCAGTCTGACACACCGAATCAACACATGTTTCAAGGACCCGTGGCCGAAGCCCAAAAGTTCGAAGGCCGAAAGGGTTTGAGGTGGCTGTTTGTCATAAGTGCGATTCTCGTCCCAACCGCTTTGTCACTTCCCGGCATCGCAGCAAATTGGCTAACCACCACCACCCCTTGTCCCACTAATCCAGTCGATTCAGCACCTCAAGAAGGCAAGCGCCAGTCACCAAATTTGCTGGGTGGCTCGGCTTTGGGGTTGCAAACAAGCTGAGTTCAGGAAGGGCATCACATACAACACCCCCAGGATTGCAGGGGTTGATCGCTTGCACACTGGATCTGCGCAAATCAACCTAACCTGAATTGAAGGATCCCTAACGCCTCATCACAGCCAAACATGCACGTTGAGCCCACCGGACGCAAACAACACATGCCGGTCGGCTTTCGTGACACCCGTCGTCAAATCTGAGCAACCAAGAGACCCCAAAACCTGGATGAGCAGGTTCAGTAAACCCTTGAAGTATGTTCACTGGCCGATCCCACGAAAAAAGGGTCAAAAGAGCCAACACAACGCCACAAAACCTGGGATTTGGTTCCCGCGAATCTCCCGAAACCTTGGAACCGCCGCTCCCTTGCCGCCGCCCCTCGCTTGCCGCGAGGCTCGGAACACAAGCGCCGAAGGTGAGGCTCCGGCTTGGGGCCCCAGTTTGGCTCTGGATTGGGCCTCACATGCAAATGGTCCGACGTTTCATTTGGGGGTGCCCTGTTTCAGACCACAAAACGGCCTCGATTTTTCGTTTTGGTGTCCTTATTCCTTTTCCAACCACAGAACACCGGCAAAACTTAACTCAAATTGGCCCAGGAAACCCGCGTGCGGGAACAAGAAACCCTGCCCGGGGCCTTTTAAGATGCCAGTCCGAAATGGATTGATCGACTCAACTCGCCGCGACCTGAAAGCAGGCCATTGCCTTTCTTAAAGCCACCTGGAAAATCCCGGCCCGTGCGCCAAAACCATGGGCTCTCTCGTGCAAAGCTGGGTTGATCCAACTGACACGCCAGAAGTTGCAGACATTGCTATTTTTCGTGGGTTCTTGTTTGTCACCTTGAAAGTGAAAGGGCTCTGGTCCAACAGCCGAGCAAGGTTATTCAAGTGAGCCTGGAACAGTTGAATCTGAATAAGTCAAAGGAGCCTCCCAAAAGTCCATACGAACCAAGAGGGCGAACACCGGTTCATGGCTGCCGCATAATCTTCTACCCTGTTGATGTTTATTGCAAAGCTGAACGCTTGCTCCTGGGGTTAGATGAGTCACGCCCCTTATCTTGGCCTATCGACCCCACAGCCTTCAGGCCTTCAGCTGTTGGTGGAAAAGTGAGAAGTTTGCTTTCCACAAGCTCTCCAGGGCCGAAAAAGAGAAAAGAAAATAAGACACATCCACTCGTTCCCTACCTCTCGCACCAGCCAGTTTAGGTGGTTGTTTGTGTTGTTTGCATCTCCAATTCCACACATACACAGATAAGCTATATACACGCCACATCCCACCCACTCGCCATGCAACAAAAAAGGCGCCGGAATTCGATCGATCGATCCAAGGCGTCGGCAGGAACTTGGCGACCTTCTCCGCCTCAAAGGAAGGCGTTTCGGCGTGTCGGTCATCCACCAGTTGCAACGTAGAAGCCCAAACCAGAAGCCCACAGATGGTAGAGATGTTGGTGGTTCCCGACCCAAAACCCCAAAAAATATTGGCGGCCAAAATCACCTCCCACCAAAGATCCGTACGGCGCCAAAGGCCGCGCCACCCGCCTCTTTCTCCTCGGTCTTCCACTCGATGGGTCTCTGCAGCGTCAGGGCCTGCGGTGAAACTGGCGAGCCCCAAGCGTGGGCCGTCGGCTTTTGTGTTGGTTTCCCTGAAAATCCACAAAGGAGGACCTTCCAAGAACACACTTTTCTCCCATGGCGGTTTAGAGGGAACCACCATACCATGAAAATCAAGCCTCGAAATCTTTCAGTTGCAGTGGCCCAGCAACAAAAGTGAAAACCTCCCGCAAAGGGTCCCAGGGGTGACCCTTCGCGGTGAGATCTGCTTCCATCCCCTGGCTCCCGCGAGTTTTATTTCACCAATCCAGAAGACGGGGACCCCAAAGGAAAGGGATTCGGGATTTGTCGGTCGCAAACCAAAATCCTGGGCGCAGCCGCGATCATTTGCCCACGTCGTGCCAGGCCCTCTGACTGATTCCGTGCGAAAGAGGGGAAGCCTTGTCAAAAAGGGACCCTCCTGAGCCAGTGGTCAAAGGCTGCCTGTTCCCACTCCCCCACTCTCCCAGGTTTCGTATGTGTGTGGGTTTCCTTGAATGATCTTTTTTGTTGGTAGCCTTTGCGAAAGGCTTGTTGTCAGAAACTGTCCTTTCTGGTTGTTGCCCCACGAGACGTGCCAGGCTTGGATTCCTCGTCAGGGTTCAGTGGTCAATATTCCCAGCTAAGTTCCCATTCTGTGGGAGTTTTCCCGGGAACTGATTCTTGCTGCGAGCATAAACCACCTTCAGTGGATGCCCCGTTCGCCAGATTGCAAGTAAACCAGCCAAACACCATGCTTGATTTTTTAGTTGGATGTCCAACTTGCTCTCGCGCAATATTGACTAGGTCCTCCAGTAGAGAGTTTAGAATAAGGGTACCCTTTTTTCTGTGGGAACACTCCCCCAACAAAAGTGGAGATAAGGGCACCTAGCTGGAGGACCTAGTTGAGCTAGCATACCGTACCTGACCGAATCGGGGCCCTTCCAAGTCGATCCTTGTTCAACACCTCCGGCAGGGGGCAGTGCCTCAACGCGAGGCCAATCCGCCTCCGGCGTTCGATTTGCCCATCCAAAACGGCCGAGTGAATGTTCCCCATGTTTTTCCCAAGCATCAAGGTGAATCGGCCTTTCAAGAGGATTTCAAAACTCTCCTGTCCATAGGTGTCCTTTTTGGAAAATAGATGGCCCTGGTAGATGATTGAACAGGTAAACCAGGGCCTTCTATTTTGTAAGCAAACCAACCAAAAAGGGCACTTCCATGACTAAAAAGGCAAGTAGACCCGTCTCTTCTGTTTCTTGCAAATTGGGGGAGTCCCAAAATCCAAGTCAGCATCCCTGGATTGGCGAAGTCTGTTCGGACCCTGAAACCACCGTACCGCAACTCCAAGCTCGGCATCAATCAAAGGTGCTTGTGCTTGGCCCGGGAACGGACTACTCAAGACATGATAGCATGTATGAAATTCTATTATCAGGCACGTGAATGTCCACAAATGTCTGTGAAATGGAGTCTTTTGCAAATCGGCGGGCTTGGAATCCGACAAGGGACTCAAGGAGATTCTTCTACAACTGGCATGGTGTCTGGCGTCCATACTAAAAATGAACAGAACCAAGAAAAACAAAACCTAAAAACTGTCCAACAACATTGAAGATACTTGATTCCGGATAAGAACTCTGGTAGTTCAACCGCCACCTCATGGATCCCACTTTAAAGGGTGCACTTGGGATGTAGGGACGTGAAGAGTCACGTTTGAATGACACACCCTCACTCCTGTCAGACAGGACCCCATGTATTTCCCCAGAGGCTCACGCCAGGAGCTCACTAGGATGTGCGTTGCCAAATTATTGTTTGTGGTTCGCCATTTGGGGTTGTTCACCCCTTAACAAGGTGAACCTCACATTGTCTGGGGACGAATAAAAGTGGGTTATATACCGCAGGCTCACCGATAAACTGACTAACTTGGCGAATTGAACACCCAGGTTCTGGCCCATGGGGAGGTGTACACTTCCAGCCGCGCGATCGATTTCTTGCGCGCTCTCGCGTCGGGAAACCTCTGGGCTTCCCTGCACCGGGCGATGCTCTTCGGCCCAGAGCCGCAAGAGATCAAAGACCTGGGCTTCGGGTTGCGTGGCTTTTTTTTTGCCGCAGGGGGATGAAGCCCAAGGTTGACGTAGGATCGAAGCAGAAGCCCTGGCTGCCTTTTTTGGGGGGGTCCCTAGTGGGGATTCAGACCACGAAATTTGGGGGGAACACCCCCCCAAAAGAATAGGATGGGTTTGTTCATCCGGGGGAACCACATTTATCCCTTTTGGGAGCACGTGACCCACCCCTGGGCTGAACTCCATTTGGTAACCAAGTCATAGAACCTGGTCCGGAGAATCTTGATGGTATCTAGAACCGAGCCTGCCGATGGGAGGACAGACCCTCTGAAAACCTAGTTGCCACAAAAACACGAGCAGGGTTGATTTTGTCGGCTAGTTGCCCAAGACAAAACCGAAGTTTGCTTGGAATGATTTCAGAGGAAGGTGTTGTAGAGGAATTCGGACATGGAATTCAAAAGGGTCCCAAAAAAGTATGTTCAACCCAACAAGACATCTCAAATATGAGAGTTGAGTGACATGTCTGTACTGCAGCAGCTATTCCTGGGATCTTCATTGAGCGTTGCCAAAACGAAACTCCTTTGGACTGATGGTGGTGTTTTGAAGGAAGGGAAACGACTCATTTGGGTCTGATTCCCCTCGGTACTTGGGTGGTAAGGCTCTCATTCAATTCCGCTCAAGGAAACACCGCTTCATTTGGCGCGACCCCGGAGGGTTTCTCTCCAAATGTCTCCAAAATTGCCCATCCAAAGGAAGACAACGCAAGTTGGGTGTATCTTCTTTTGGACATCCACAGCATGGCCGGGTTTTCCTGTTGGCTTCCCTTTCAAACAATTTGGCCGCTCCTCGTTCCGAGCCCTGGGCCACCTCGTTGGGCGCGTCTGTCTTGATGGCCTATCCGAACGAAAGCCGCAGCGCTCGCATGCCGGTGTCCCCTTTTTCCTCCACCCCGAAACGGGTACCTGAAAAAAAGCGAACCGAAACGGGTACCTCAAAAAACGCAAACCCGAATAAAGTCGCCAAACTGCAAACCTGGGCAGTTGGGGAAGACGGCACACTTCCGTAAACCCCCACGAGCGAATGCTGGCCACTTGCACGGTGCAACAGAGACGTTCTGCCAAGTCCAACGATATGGGAGTCTCACCTTCGATACCCTGCCCGAGGAGAGACGGAGAGGGATCTCTTCAAAAGGCCCATTTTGAGTAAGCGTCCTGCGGACCTATGGGCCTATGAATCTCAGGCCCTTTGGACATCTCGGGGAATTTAAGTTGCCACGACCATTCTAAAAATCGCCCTGCGTGTGGAAAGCCAAAAACTGCCAAAGGATGACCATGGAAAGCTGGCCAAATGTTGACACCGCGCCTCAGGGGTCGCTTCTGATTCACACACAAAAAGGGTTCCCTACCTAGGAACCTTCACTAGGTCTCGCTCCTTTTCGTAAGTTGCCCAATTGCCCAAACCCACGAACAAGCAAGTCGAAAATAGACTTGAGGACTGAGTGGCGACTGCTTGACACCCGGCATGATGGCCACAAACACCGGCTTCGTTTGCAGACCTCCAGATAAGCGAGGTCTAACGTTAAGGACTGTCACAAACCCGGGTCAAGGGGTATACCCCGTGTCTCCAAGCTATTAAACAAAGAACCCACAGACTGTGGCTGGATGGCCAAAGAGGGCCACAGATCTGGAACTGTAACATCCGCAGCCGCAAAAATATCTCCGGGTGGGTCTCAAAATAGGGATGACCCCAAAAAATGGGTGGCTTACCCTTTGGCTTCCCTCAAAAGGCCACCCCACAAAGGGTAAACAAATATGTGTGTATATATATATATATATACCAAGAGCCGTGAAAGAATGCAGCAAAGGCACGTGAGGCTTTTGTGTCTACAGCGTGACGTCAAGTTGCAACGGCTGGGAAGCTGGACGCACAGACATATTGCGCTGAAGCGAACAGGCAGGCTTGGGCTACCTGTTTGATGCTCCCATTCTCATAAATAGCGCAGATGGTTATTCAAAACCCTCATTGAGAATGTGTCAATAATGGAGCCGTTTTGTTTTGGAAACGGGTGTTGCTGGGAATTAACAGAAAACCGACCATCTAGAGAGGATCCCAATTGTGACATACGCCCATGAGCCTTCCAGTCGTCCACACGCCCAATTCAGGCCCCCTCCAAAGGCTTCAATCAACTTAACCAGGACTCATTTCACTGGCACGTGCTCAACCCCGTCTTGTTCCACTCCTTTCAGCTCCGTCGCAAGTGATTGTTAAAGCAACTTCCCCTGAATCCCAATTTGACCATGGCGATTGTGAACTGTTCACCGAACTTCGCCTTCACGATCAAGCATTAGCATTGCTTCCTTTCTGCTTCGGTCCCAAACAGCGGTTCCAGCTTCCACTCCGGATCTCGGCTCGTCAGTACTCGGTGAGGCCCTTTGGACCACCAGTGAAATCTGAAAGAAAAAAACCTCGCGCGCGCGAAATCGCGCGCGAACGATGTCGACTGCCGACTGCCGACTGATGTTTGGAGCCCGGTGGTTTAGAGGTAAAGCGGTTTCCCATTTGCCCTGTAGAACAAGAGGTTGTCCCAAACCACCGATTCAAACCACCAACTAAAGGAAAGCTGAGGTTGCTTGCCTTCGCGACGGTTTTCCTCTCAGAACTAACAGGGTCCACCCAACGTTGCGTTGGAAACAGGATGGTCCAGCACCCTCTTTGGAGGGAATCAGCTTTGCGTCCAATAAAGGTAGTCTTAGGACAACCCCAAGTTCTATCAAGATGGTCAAAGCTCGATTCCAAAAGCTACAAAGCCCTTCCCAAAAGCAACAAAAGACAAAGCCAACTTTACAATGTTCCCAACATGGTTGGCTTCGCTTTTCAGGACAAGCTTGAAGAACAACCACAAGAATCCCTACCCAGCCAAGAGTAGACTCTCTATTCATGCTGGCCTGTACGGGCTCCCGGGGTGCGGGGGGAGGCCAGGCTGAGATGTGTTGAGCGTGCTTGTGTGATACCATACATGCGTCAAGAAAAAGAACGCACAAACACAAACACAAGCACGCAAAGATGTGGGTTTACTCCTTTTCGTTTCCTGTTAGACCCGCGTGAAAAGGGCGTCCTTGAAGAAATCCACAAACTCAACTCGTCTCTCATCGAGCAGTTCCCAGAACCCCAACCCCGACCCAGGCTGACAAGGCCAGGCTTTCGCCAGGGTGCCTTGGACCGCCCCCCAAAAAAAGCAAAAAGGAGGTCAGAATCGGTCAAGAGACCTCGCGCTCACATATTCACCTGTCCAAAGCTTCGTTCCGCTCTTGGTGGCTGTTGACCCCTCTGCAAGATGTTGAACTTTTGGTGGATCCAATGGAAAGTCCATCATATCCCAAGAAGTTAAAGTCCCAAGGTCCAAGCAATAGCGAACAGAAGGTTGCGAAGCTTCGTTCGGTTGAGCCTAGGGCAACCAAAAATGATTCAGCGCACCGTTCACTTCGTCGGAACGGCCAAGCCCGCTTCGACCAGCTCGGGGTGTTCGCCTCCGTCGCAAGAGCGGTTGATCCAATGGCCGCCAAATAGATTTGCTCCAGCCAAGAGGTATAGCACAAATCAAACTGACAACGCAAGGCTAAGGTAGTGGCTTTGGCGTATGGAAATATCGCACTTGAGCAAAGCTCGTACCTTGCCATGGGCATGGGGGAAACCAACAAAAGAGCACAGTACTTGGAAGTTCCACCAACTTCGTGCATCTGGAGGGTGTCTGGAAAATAAAACATCCTCTTCGATGGACCCTCTTCAAAGGTGCCATGTTAGTGGGAGGAAGGGTATGTGTTTGCCAACCCCAGCACTTCCAAGCTACTTGGGCGCTCCTAAGTCCTCGGCTTGGACGCACGAGTTCCGGAAGCTGTGCATGGCCCAACACCGTTTCCCGGGTCCCCAACAGATTGCCACGGGTTTTTTACTTCTCAAACCAAGCCAAAGACTCCCAAAGGAATATCCGGTCGGGTGAGGGCGTGAAGGCAATCCCCTGTGCGAGGAAAGAAAGCAGAAACTCCCTGGCGATATGTCTGATTGTTTTCGACCACTATGAACGACTCAACATATCCCCCATTTCTGTGCGCGGTTCTGAGCAAATTACCGAAACAGCTGCAAAGCACATGTGCCCATCTGAGCGCCCGAAGGCAGGCAGCGAGCTTCAAGTCGAAGAAGCGAACTCTCCCCACAAAGGTTTCAGGGAGCCGAAAAGAATCCCGGGGTCACAACAAGAAACCGATAAGGGAACTGGAAAGCCCACCACCCTAATCCTGCCCGTGAGCAAAGACCTCTTCACTTGCTGATGATTCCTGGCTCGTTTCGGTGAACAATTTGCTGGATGGGCCAACCCCCTCCCCCTTCTCATCCTCAATCACACATTAGACAACCAGGGACGCCCTTCCCCCGTTTCTGCACGCATTCTGTGCGACAGCCTTGCCAGCGTGAAACTGCAGGGATCCCACCCTACGGCCAAGGTAAAACCTCCGATTGCTTAAGTCCACCAGAAACAATAGTGTGTCCAGTAGTGATAGAGTCCCTTTAAATCTTAAGCAAATGAAAGACAAGTGCCATCCCCCTAAAAGGAAGTCGCAATAGGCACTTTGAATTGGCACGAAAGTAAATGTCGAAAGCTGGCCAAACACAGTGCATAAGTTGGATACAGGCATGACCTGATCACCTCCACCTCTACCCAAATCCATGAAAGCACGAAAGCACACTAAAAGGCGGCTGCACCTATTTCTGGCAGGGACTGCCCCCAACCTTCATCTACACGCCGTTTTGATTTTCGGCTCACCTCAGGAAACTTCATCGCCGTGTCGCTTTCCTATCCAGGCGCCGGATTTTGCCCAACCTTCCCACGCCAAATTCCCGGCGCTTCCCCACCCCCGCTCTTCTGCCAGCGCGCCTCGGGGGACGCGCTGAAGCGCTCACATGGCGTGCTGCCCCGGGGCGGCGCCGGTGAGCATGCCGTTGCGGATCTGGCTGGAGACCTCGTCGCATCTTTTAAAAGTGGACGCCGCAGGCGTCCTTTCGGTGACATGGAGAGGTGTCCCTGGTAAACGGTTGATAAACCAAGCCAACAAAAACAGTGAAACCCTATCGATTTCTGTCCCCAAGCTACTTAACCTATAAAGGGAACACCTAAGGCTATGGAAGCTCTTCACCACGGGGGGCCTTTTCCAGGGTCACCGCTTTGAACAGCAGCCGTCAATTTAGCTCGTTATACCCCGATCGGTGAGGTTGGTATTTTACTTGTCCAAAATGGACATGCTCCAAACACCGCCCTACTTCTGAGAAATCTGAAACGGTCTGTCCCTAAAAAAGGGAAAGAAAACTGGATGCCCCTTCTTGGGATTTTGAAAGAACCTCCAGGGGAGAAAACCATGAGGAGATGCCTCGTGATTCACAGAAGGCCTCGTGGCTGTGAAAGACAGTGATTCCAAATACTATGACAGGTAGCCGACGGACACCAACCATTTACCTTCCGGATTTCCCTTGGAAGGTAATACCATTTACAAATCGATTGCGATCCGGGTCCCCTGAGAGGCAACATTGGGCAAAGGTCTCTACATTCCCCCCAGCTGTTTCAAACACCACCTGGTTGTTGACTTGCCTCAAAGCTTTGGGCGGACTTGTTGACCGCACAAAAACTTCTTCAATCCATCCCGATGTTCAAATCACCAAATCCATGGGGAAAAAGTAATTGACACCTGATGTGTGTAGTTGACTTTATATTAAGGGTGTCACCCCCTCTAAAAAAAGAAACCGGTGTGTCTTTTTTGAGGGTGACCCTTGGTTTGTGGCTTTGAAGGAAACCCAAAGGAAACTACATCCCTCTTTGTTTGGTTGCTTTTTGCTTGGGGGGGGCCTTTTAAAAGACACACCCAAATGTTCAACTTTGGCTGCAAGTCTTTCTTGCGGCCTCGACTTCTCCCTGGGCTTGTTTCAGGGTTCAAAGTGCCCGTGGATCCTTGGACAAGCCGAACTGGCTTCAAGCTCACGGGTCGTAGGTTTCATGGACCCGGCTTACGTGAAACAGTGCGTTTCCAGGGGCCTTTCGATTCGGTCACACTCGATTTCACACGCAAATCCAGGAGCCTTCCTGGTCAGCGATTCGAATCGCCGTCTCGGTCAAAATGGAACCGTTGGGTTGGTTTAAATCCCTAGAAAGACGGGGACAGGCTGGCCAGCCTCCATTTCGTCCGTGCCCAAGCGCTGAGAAAATATGTCCAGTGATAGATTCGCTTTGAGACCCAGGGGAAAGTACACCAAATATGCCTAAAGAAACGGATGGTCCCAACTTGGCTATGCCCTCCAGTAGAGGTTAGAATAAGGGTACCCATTTTCTGGAGTCTCCCCCAAAAAAGGAACGGTGAGAAAGGGCACCAAGCTGGGAGACCTGGTATTGTTCTTTTCAGCCTTCCCAAAGTCAAAGAAATGGAAAGTCCCAACTTGCAAAGTACATACCTATAAACAAATCTAAACAATGGAAAGTTCTTTCTTCCCAAAGTCGCCTGGGTCCTGGTTTCTCAGGGAGCAAGGCTCGACCCCACCGGGGAGAAGCCCGGCGCAGGGGAGCAACAAGTTTCCGAGGCACGTCGCCCACGGCCCCGGGGCCGCTGGGCAAGAAGACGGTGCTGGAGCCTTGGCGGAGCGCATGGAGCCCCTGCTTTTTGAGGTGAGCCTCGGGGTGGCTTTAGGGAAACCGAAAAGGACACCAACCATTTTGAGGGGTGCCTCATTTTGAGACAAACCCAAATGGATATGTGTCAATATATATCTATATATGTATACATACTATATTATAGAGGTATGTATGGTTGATTCTGTTCTTGGTGTGCCCTTAATAGACACCCATTTGAGCGCCAAACAAACGGTTTGGACTGAGCAAGTGAGCTTATGCAGGACTAATCTGGACGTGTGTGCCCTTGTTCAGGTTGGTCAAAAGGGAGTCAACAGCAATTCACGCGAAGCCCAAATGGGGGTCCATTCTGTTGACCGAAACCATCCTTGTCCAAATGTCCAATTTTGGGTCCATGACCATCCCCCCCGAGGCCGAGTAAAACGGTGTCTGACCAGCGCACCTATGGCTGTGCCTCTTTTTGGAACCCCTTTTTGGTTGGGTTTAAAGGCAAACCAAAGGACACCTGCCACATTTGTTTGGCCCGATTTTTCTTAACTCATCCATATCACAAGTACGCTGACAGGTGGCAGACGAGGGAGATCTTGCTGTTGCAAAGAGCTGCGTCTCTTCTTGTCCGTGGCAAAATTTGGCCAGGGGCTAACAAAGCCACTCCCGTGAGTGCGCATTGCCTCATTGACATGTAAGGACAAAAGCCATACATCAAATCCCGAATTCAACCTGGTGGATGGGTTTGGGATTCCTCGGTTTGTCAATTCTGAGTGCCCACCCAACAAAGGCCCTTGGGCTCATGCTACCCAAGCTTGCCACTTTCGCAACCGGGGCCCCGCGCGGTTGTGAGCCGCCACATCACGGAGGGTCTCGAAGTATTGGGTGATCCTTGCCGAAAATCGGCTGACCCTTTTGGGTCAGTGTTTTTGAGGGGTCCCTTTTTTGGCTCGTTGCGCCGGTTGGGGGGGTCTAAATTCCTATTTGGACACACGCCCCAAAAGGGATCCGAGCGACAGATCCTTTGGGGATGTGGACCGGGACCTCCCTCCTTTGGTTGGAAAATGGGATGGAGCCATGTCTTCTCGTTGAAGTAACGACTGGTACATTCAAATGCTCCTCTTAAAGGGGCATATTCAAAAGCGGGGATACTCCGCTTCGGCAACGGCTCGCGGTGCAGCTTCCCGTTCGAAGCAGTGAAAAGCTTCCAAGTTCCTTGCCACAAACCGGAGTTGTTCAGCTTTCCAAAGTGGTGGCTTAGAGCCTGCGGGTTGGTGGGTGGCTTTCCCATCCAAATCCACGCCACCAATCAGGGGTCGCCGCAAAGTTGTCACAGGGTTGCTGTGGGCCTGCCTCACTTCCGTGGCTCCTCCTGCTATCAAGGGCGCGAGCGATGCAGTGAGATTTTCCTGTGAGCATTAACCACTGTGTCGCGAGTTGTGATTCAATGATGTGTTCTGGCGGGTAGGGGATCCTGTGGCAAGTCCTTGGGGGGATATCAAGAAGGAGACTCCCCTCTAGGCGATGTTGGGGTCCATGAAGTTTGCTCAAGCGGCAACTTCCCACATCGCATGTGACAGGACCGCGATTTGGGCGTATCCCGCTGGTCATCTGTCGAATCTTCAAGACAGAAAGGGTTCAGTGGGCCTAACCCCGATCCCAACGTGCAACTCGGGCGTGCAGATTCTCCAAAAGGAACCGCCTTGGGCAATGCCGATGTAAACAGAGGAGGAGAGGGAGGTGGGGATCATATACCTTACTAACTGGAGTCTGACACAAACAAACAAACAAAAACAAATGCCTCAAGAAAAGAACAACCAGGAAGGAAGCTCCAATTTGGTGGGGAAGAAGTCTCTTTGTGTGTGCGTTTAAAGGGAAAACCGACTGCCCCAAGCAGTTGCCCACCGACCCGTTTTTCGCGTTTCCCGAGAACCAGGTTCCGGGGTTCCCAGCAACAGGAGCTCGGAGATCTTCTCGGTGGATAAGCTCTCCCCAGAGCCGTGGGTGATGGAGTCCCTGAGCGGAATATGTCAGGGATGTCTGCGCGTTTGGCTTTTCTAACGGTTGATTCCCCATTCTTTTCAATCGTTCTTTTCAAAAACCGGCCGTTTCCCTGGGTTTCCGGAGGTTTTCTAGAAATAAGGTTTCTTCATGTTGTGGATCCCTCGTTTTTGTGGATGTCCCCGCGTTTGGTTTTTGGTTTGGAGAGAATCCTCTTTGGACGCCACCTCTTTGGAAGTCTTTTAATTGGACGGGGAATAGGACAATTAAAGAGGGAAACCGTTTTTGTTGCTTGCTGGTGCGATAGGCGCGGAATGGGAAATGGAATGACCAAGAAAAACCATCGCTGATTTGGTTTCCTTTATTCGGGAATCCCCAAGTTCATTCCCTCATTCACTGCTGAGCACCAGCAAGTTTGGAAGCCTCTTTGGATGTCTTTTTGGACTTTGTTCATAAGGGAACCCTTTAAAGGGAGTCCAAAGGAAACCGGCCATGTCTTGCCTGTTTGTGAGGGAAGCCTGTAAAGGGGTGTCTTAAACCTAAGCATCTTGTGGATTACGAGCCCTATTTTGAGGGTGCAATTCCTCTTTTGATACAAACCGATGAGGATGTGTCTTCTTGTGAACATGCTTTTGGGGTTAGAAGGAGACCTGCTTGGAAGCTTCGCCGAGACAAGCCCAACTTGCCCTGACAGCGCTGGAGGGACCTGGCAGGGTCACTCAGCTGCCACAAAGCTCCAAATGAGTGGTAACAGATCGGTCCCAGCGCTCTGAGAGTGGAGATTGTAAACTGAGATAACGTGGAAAATGCCCCGACATCTATTATACCGAAGCGGATTCCCATCCACATGGCTTTGTCACTTTCAAGGGGACTTTGGGTTGACCCCCCACCCACCCCAAATTCAGGGGTCGCCCCGATTTGCAAGTGGTTTCCTTCGCTTCAAAGGGTCAACCTCTCATTCCCGGCTTGCCCCGGCAAAAAAGAAGCCCAGCCCCGGGGCATCGGCGTTTCCCCCGCGCCACGCGCCCCAAACCGCGAGCCCCGCGCCTCAGGCCGTCGATGATGGCCCGGCGCTGGCGCGCGATGCCCTCGCCCTGGAGCTGCGCCGCGTCCGCCGCCGCCTCCGCAGCCTTCACCACCTAGCGAGAGACCCGAGCGGGGGGTCGTCGACTTCCTGTTTGGGTATAAAACCATTATTATCCATTATTGAAGATATTGAAAAATGTGTTGATGAATTAAGTCATCAGTATATATGACAGAAACTTGTGGTTGGCACTTCCCTTGTCCGAACATCACCTTTTGGGCCAGATACTCAGGGTCGCATGGGCAACCCGAACTTGAGGCGGCAGGTGAGTGATGAAAGCATCATTTGAGGTGGTCTGTTTTAAGGAGCGTCTTGAAGGGAAACCACTGACATAGAAATATTATGTTGGTGTTGTCACAAGAGGGCTTCTGCTGGTGTTGCAACCCAAAAAGTCTTAGTCTTCCTCTCACCCTAAAATATGTTTTTAAAAAAAAATGAACACCAACAAATAACTGGTCTTCCCAAAAAGTCATCTTCCAACCAAGCGGGGTTCATCACCGGAGACCCCAAAATCCCTTCGTTTCGTGTCTAAGCTTCCATTTGGTTAAGACCTCCGGAAACAATAAAACAACATGTCCAGTAGTGATAAATTCCTTTTAAAACCAACAAGGGAAAAAGAAAAAACATGGAAGTAAGGAGGCAGGCCAAGCGCCTTGATCTTCTCCGCCTCCGCAGCCATCTGCGAGGCGTCCCGGAGCCGCTTCTGCTTGTTGATCTCGTTCATGGAGGCCACCACCTCTCGGACCGAGCGGCCGGAGGCGGAGGGGCTGAGGGGCGGATGGTCCCAAACCGAAACGAAGCGAAGCTGTCACACCCCAAAAAAAACAAAGACGACACGGGGTAGTTGTTAATTATTTTGGAACCAACCATGTGAAGTTGCTGTACTCCCTCGTTTCACCTGAAAGTAAGTGGTTTGGGGGTGGAAACCATCTTAGAAGGCTGTTGCCGGCGGAAAAAAAAAAGGCAACCCAGGTATTGGCATCGCGGGACTGGCGAGGAGCAACATCAAAAATCGGACTTGGAGAAGAGCCCTGAACCTGCTGTTGTGCTGCTCAAGCACGCTGCTTTTTGGTATAACCCTCAACCTTACTCTAGGGTTGAGATGTCAGGGCTCTCTCGGTGGCTCCCACGAGAGGACGCTTTGATGGCGCTTTAGGTAGGGAAAACCCATTTGTTGGGTCCCCCAATTTCGATACCCGAAACATATCTAGGTCAGCTGAAAAACGGTCAGGCACTCTCGACAGCTCCGATAGACGGGTTTTGCGGGTGGGCCTCAGTACACAACACTGGTTCCCTCTGAAAGATCCCTTTCTATAAAGAAACGACATTTTTGCGTTTCGGAACTGGCGACCTTGACATCCACAACATTGTCTCCTTCAAATGGGTTTGTCCGAAATGGGTGGCTTCCTTCTGAGTTCCCTTTAAAACAGCCCTCCAACAAACGACACACCCAAATAGAGTGTTCAAAGCCAAGCAAGACTCATTATGAGCACTAAGAAAATTGTGCCATTTTGTTCGGTCGAGATTGAAACCAAAAGATCCACTTGGATCCTTCACCACTGGAATTGCATGTTGACTGCGGATTTAGAAAACACAACATATTCTAAGGGAAGTTTACAAGGTACTTGCGTACCGGAGATAATTCAGCCAGCACTCTGTGGCTCTGTCTTCAACAATGCATATGCCTGCACGCGATCTTTAAGCCTAGATGTAGTTGCACGGGAAACAGTTACGAAAAAGCAGGAAAACGCCCGAACCGGGGAATAGAAGACGGGGTGCGGGGGGGGCGAAGGTTCGGAACGGGCGGCGCGGAGTCGGGACCATTGGCACCTCCAAAAACTTTGGGTTGGTGTCGCGTTAGCAACTTTGGCTGCTGTGGAATTCCGGCAGGTCGACCTCCAAGACTCGGCGGGTTAGTTTCGAAAAACTCAGTGTTTGTTTGCATGTTTCAAGGGATTCAGGGAGGGAGTGAGGGAGGGCGGGAGGGAGGGAGACCCGAGGGAGGCACGGAGGGAAGCAGAGAGGGAGAGAGGGAGCAAGAAAGCAAACAAGAAGGAGAAGGAGAAGGAGAAAGAGAAGGAGAAAGAGAAGAAGGAGAAAGAGAAGAAGGAGAAAGAGAAGCAGAAATAGAAGGAAACAAAAAGACAGAAAGAGAAAAAGAACAGGAAGAAAGGGAAAGGGAAGACAGAGATGAAAGAGAAGGGGAGAGAGAAGGGCAAAAGAAGCTCCCCCCAGCTCCGCCAGCTTTACTAGTACTGGAGTGTGTCCCCTCCAAAACTGATGAACCCCCCAATAAAAAGGAATTACACGCCTTCCGACTGATCACCCACAACATTGTGCTTAGACCCCCTTTTAAGGTCATCCAATCGTCATGCGGATGGCCCATTTCTCACCCGTGAATTGAACCCGGAAGCGGTCACTCCGACCTTCTACTTAGATCTCCCCGGGGCCCACCGAAATCGCCTATGACGTTCTGGGTGTTGGGACTGAACCGCTTTGGGCCTCAGGAGGGCTAGAAAACCATCAACCCCCGCCAACAACCGCCCCGCCCGAGCTCACCTCCGCGTTGGGGGAGACCTCGGTCACCAGCGCCTTGTTGATGGCGAAGCCGTAGTTCGCCATCTCCGCCGCCAGCTTCTTCTGCACCGCGTCCGAGATGTCGTCCTCTTCGGTTCCCCCCCCGGAGATTTTTCCGGTGAAAACGGCGGAAACAAAACGAAAGGCGGCCCGTCAAAAGCCGAAAAGAACACCATGGCCTCTTGCAGCTCTTGCGGGCCTTCCTCTTTTAGGGTGACTAGGTGTTCTGAGGCGTGCGCTCCTTGGAACTGCGTTTCGGAGCCTGATTTCATGTCCGCCTTTCACGGACGATGCCATATCGGGGGAAAACACTGTCTGATTTTGTCTTCACACTGCCTGCATCTCAACGGCTTGTCCCGGAAAATGCAAGATTCAAACCAAAATCAGCCACCAAACAAAAAGCAAAAAGAAGAAAGAAAAAAACAAACGAGCCGACCATGTCTGCCATCTCGACCCCTCCAATCGGGGGGTTCCCACCGGTTCCATTCGAGGGAATGGAAAACCGGGCGGTTCCGGTTGCGACTCGACTCCTTCTTCTCGAAGGCCTCGTCCAGGGTCATCTGCGGAATGAAGGAGCCTCGGTGGCGGGTTCTGCCGGACCGGAAACCTGGCGTTGGGAGTTTGGTGAGATGGCCTCATTCCCAGGCTGACGGTCTTGGAAGGCAGTTGTGATTTTGATAAATGGCTTCTCAAATTCACTTGTATCGAGGGTAAAGGGATGGAAACAGACCAGGGCAACAAAACCAGAAGGAAACTAGATTGAACAAATTCCCTGGGGCGAAGCAGACCGGGAGAGAGACCATCTCAAAGGCACTCGCCCCCACCCGCGCGGGCCCCGAAAAAAAGAAACACAACTCCGCCGGGTTCCTTTGCCATGGTCAAACCATTCTTTTGCATGGGAAAGTGTTGGGAATTCCCGACTTTGCGGGAAGAAAAAGTCGAGCGATCCCTCCCAAATTCATCAGACGTCCCACGACCACACACAGAACCTTTATGGGTGAAACGTGGGCATCGGCCAACCGCAGCCATCCCAACCCAAAACAGCAGGCAGCCCATGGTTCGCCTCAAGTGGCCTTGGTGTTCCCATGCACGTCTGGTATACACATGAAACACCCGGAAAACCCGACGCAGACCCCGCAATCCAAGGCTGGAAAATTATTGAGCCCGGTCGAAAGCCTATGCTTTACCCTCTGGTTCGTGCTCTTAACCCCGGATTTATCAACCCCCAGCTTCTTCATAGCGGTCATCCTCCACGCATTGGCACCCGAAAACAACCTCAATCAACCATACAAGGAAACCCCTCGAGACCGCCAACCCTTGCCGGGTTTGGGGAAACCCCAACGCCAAAACAGAAGCAGAAGCAAAAGGAACCCCCTGGAGGTCTGGGGGTTGATGGTCACACGTGGCGCCGAGCCACGCACCACGTCCGCGACATAGGACTCAATCTGCTCATGCACGTTGTCCAGCTTGTACATCGCCTCACTCCGATGGAACCCCCAAAAGAATCAAAACCACACCCTGCGCGTATTCTTCATTTTTATCAGAGGGGTTCAACCTGCAAAGAAATAATGCAATCCGTGTGTTTATGAATCAAGGATAAACCGGATGAATTAAAAGAGGAATCGTCCGCTCTGCATCTAAGAATTCCCCTTCAGAGCTTTGGATGTCGTCAAACAGTTTCAGCATGCGGCTTTTTGGCCGACGCCTGCAGGGTCAGGATCAATATTGACGTTGAATGTTAGAGGATCTATTTGTAGGTGCTAGATGCGCGGGTGATGGAACCACAAGTAAACGAGGTCCTTCTCTCTCTCTCTCTCTCTCTCTCTCCCTCCGTCTCTCTCTTGGGAACCCAAAAGCCAGGTGAGTCACAATCAAAACCCGGTACTAAAATGGTTGACCAAGGAAATACAAGGGCGGCCGCAGCTATTTATGTCTGGGATTGTCCCTTACTAACCTTCGTTCACCCGGGTTTGTGGCTCAGGTCCCGTCAATTCGCTTTGGGCTGAGAAAAACAAAGCTAACCCGAGCCTCGCCCCTTCGGCCCATTCGGCCCGGGCGCCAACTCCGTGAACTCCGGCATCACGGACTGCTGCACCGCCACCTTCACGTGGACGAAGACGTTGTCCTCGGAAACCCGAGGATGGGTGAAGCAAAAGGGCGGATGGAAAGGGAAGAAGGAAAGGAAGCAAGGGAAACTGAAGGAAAAAGAGAGAAAGGAACAAGGAAGGGAAAGAAACACAACATGGAGGGAAGGAGGGAAAGGAAACGTAAAATGAGGACAATGTAGGAGAATAAGTGTCTTGTACTTGCGATTTCCATGCAGAAGCGTCTTCCAATGAAGAACTTGGCTTTCTGCGCCCTTTGGGAGACAATGAAATCAAAATGCTTGGATTCCGAAAAGTTGAGTGTCCTTGGCTTTCCGTCTTGACCCCCCCACCATTTTCCAGGTCAACATGCCAACCCCTCCATTCAACTGCTTCGTCTTGGTCCCTAAGAATCGTAGAAAATCGAGGTAGCATGTATACTTAAACACTAGGGCCTATTTGAGGAGGCAGCACACAAGCATGCCAAGAAAGGTAAAAATAAAAAAAGAAGAACAACAAGCATACCAAGAAAGGGAAAAATGCAAAAAAAAAAAAAAAGGAGACAAAAAAAGGAGATGTCTGGGTCCTTGGTCTTGGTAGACACCGACACCATGTTCTGCTCCGTGCGTGAGGTGATGGACCTGAAGGAGATGCAGGCGCCGCAGCAGTCGAAGCCCACCGTCGCCAGGCCAGGCTTCAGCATGTGGGAGAACTTCCCGAACTTCTCCACCGCAAAGTACCTGAAGCCATACTGCGGGTGGACGAAATCCATTTCGCACCACCTAAAACACCCGCCGGGTTGAGATAGACCACAGGTCCGGAGTTTGGGGGTGCCGGGTTCGCAATATGGCAGTGGGGATTGGGATGTTCACTGGGGGTGCGGGGTTTTGACCCATGGCCATAAAGATTTTCGGCCGGGATCCTCTATTTCCTGGTGCCTTAGATAGGAAATCCATATGAATTGGATTGAACCAGGACGTGTAAAGAAAGCAGGAGTAAACATAAACATATGGCCATGGGTCAAAAGCCCAATCGGTTACCCCCCAAGTGAACATCCCAATCCCTACTACAATAGGTTCTAGAATGGGTGGTGAATTCACCTACCCCAAAATGGGATACCATTGGTTTTGACCCACTGCCTTTTAGAAAGTAAAAAAAGAAAAGAAACAAAGGGGGGAAAACTGCAAAAAACATAACATAAATTCCCCTCCTATAGATTTTCGGCCGGTATCCTCTTTTTCCTGGACTTTCTGGGTATCCTCCAGGAATTCCTGCTGGTTTCTTGAGGGAATATCCATTCATTTTCTGGGTATCCATGTTCTATTTCCGTCTTGTTTCTTCAGAAGCCAGCTGAAAGCTAGATTTCCAAGCACCCACCAAAAACAAGTTGTTGTCCTGCAGGATTTCCTGCTGGCTTCTTAGATGCCATATTTCACTGGTGGATAAAACTCGGACGCACTCTTCCCCCACGTTGTTTTAATCATTAACGTCCCCGAACTTCTCCGCGGAACACGTCGATTGATCCGGCCAGGGTTTCATGTGCTGCCCGTACCGGTTTGCCCCCAAAGACCTTCTGGGGTCGCAAACAGGTGGTATCCTTGTGCCTCAACAAAAACGATACTGGGCAGGAAGTTGCGCGGAATTGGTCCACTGCTCTATCTCCATGACTTAAACCCGAGAAAGGCTTTGAAGTGATGCGGGGTGTTCCATGAACACCCAAAATGGTGGGCATGAATCCCTGGAAATGATGTCAATGGGCTCCATTGAAGCTGATACCCAATTGAAGACTGCCCGCCGTTGAACTTCAAGGAGGTCCATTTGTTGGTCAGATTTTGTGCTCCCTTCAATCTTCGCAAGGCTTCGCGGGCCCGGCAGCCAGAGTGAAGAAAGTGGCTGAATTGTGAAAAATGGCCAGCCGCAAAAAACCTGGCCTGGGTGGAACAAGCAAAGGAGTGAGGTCCGCAAACCCTCCCAAAGAAAAAAGCCGCAGTCATTTGCCCCCAAAACCGAGGCCGCACTTCGGTGAAAACCCACACAGGACTCGTCTTCGGGTTCGAACTCCACAACCCCAGGTTTCCCCCAAAAGGATCGGGGCTTCACCTCAGAAGGGAGACATGTGGGGTCAGAACTCCTACCATCTCACTTCCGGAGTGGATTGGCCCAACAAAGATCCAATCTGTTTCTTTACCGCTACAATAATCTTACCGAAAAGTTGGAAGTCCAGGAACTCGGGAAGTGAGCCATCCCAACTTTCACCCCAAGTAAAAAAAAGAAAAGCGGGTGTTTTGACCACCTATGCCCAGCGGGCGGATGCTTTTGGTTCCAGGAGCCGGAACCCAAGCCGGCTCCCTAGCGCCGAGCTGCTTGTCCTGGGGCACCGTCACCATGCCTGGGTTCGGTTGAACCCTGCCACCTTCGACCACAAATCATCCCTGTGCAACCGGAACAGTTCCCACTAATCAAAGAGTGGGGTGTCACTTTCGCAACTTCCGGGTTCAAAAGGTTGACACAAGCGATGCATTTTGAGAACCCTTGTTTAGCCCATTAGAAAAATGAGTCTGCCAAGTGATGCAAAATCTGTCTGTCTAGTTGGGACATGCTCGTCCTTGTTCAAAAGGCCGGACGAGAAATCACTTCTGGGCGCAATCGCCAAGTTGTCCCCAAAAACCACCGAAAATGTGGTCCAAAAGGTTCGGCTGAAACATGTTGATCATTTCCAATGCTGGCGATCGCTCCAACTGCAAAAGGTGATGCCCACGGTTTGGTGGCTAGGGACGTGTTACGATGCTCCGAAAGCTTCAACAATGAAAGGATTTGTTGACCCCTGTCTGGGTGGTTTTTAGCAGGAAACCAAAAGGAATAATGTGGAAGAAGAAACTTGGGGGGTCCCCGCCCAGATGGTGGCCCCCTTTCTTTTCTTTATCTAAAGGGAAGTCCAAAGGACCCGAGCCCTAGGGACGGTTTTTTGAGGCTGCACGTGAGACTTGGCTAGGGAACGTTGGGATTCCCCCAATCGGCCAGGGGGGTTCCAGCAGACCGAGAGACCTTTGTGTGAGTGTGCTGTAGAGGGTACCTTGCTTTTGTGGTTTAGAAGAGCACCTGCAAGACCTGCGAAAAATATTTTTCAGCACATTCTGAGCAGCAGGTGAGCATCTGCTATGGCTACTTTCGTGTTACCTGCATGGAGTTCTGTCTGACTTTTTGACCACTGGTTGGGGTCACTTGCCGGGATCATCTGGAAAGCCAAAAGGAAAACCGAAGCCATTGTGTGCGTCCCCGAAAAAAAGACGAGTTATGTGCATGGTCTCGTGTTCATACCCAAAAGCAACTAAGATGCAGTTGCCGCATGGCAGGCATCCTCGCTCTGACTGCTGCATGGCTCGCTTTTTCTGGCCGAGGAGAGGGGTTTTCTCTTTCTGCGCCTTCTGCACCGAGCCGAAAAGTAGCTGTGGGTCAAAAATAGGTACCCAAAATGGAACCCTGGTAAGTGGACACATGGACTAAAACCTGCAGTCCCCTGGTTGCTTAATTTTGACCCATACCCAAGTGAGAAAGGACCAAAGTCTGCTCAAGGCAAAGAAGGCAATACCCAGAATCGCTGCCCCGTTGAAGCCAGACCGACAAGTCAACAAAGAAAGGGGCGAGTCAAAGAACACAATCTTCACAGGGGTATATGATCATATCTGACCATATCTGACCTTTCCCCCTCTCAACAACCCATCCCTCACGGAGCCGGAGGAGCCCAAATCACTATGGAGATCTGGGTGTCGCTCTTGATGGCTTTAAAGGGACGCCAAAAAATGGGTTCGAACCTGAGCCATTTCAGGGTTCGACCTAAAAGAAGAGCGTTTGGGATGTGAAATCGCCTTAGCCCTTGGTGACACAAAAAACTGGGACTCCTTTACGATCAATCCAACACCCCAATTTAGGCCATTTAGGAGTGCCACATGAAACTAGCTTCCCCTCATACTGTGGATGGACAAAATCCTGCATCACTTTCAAACCCTTTGTTGGTATTTACAGGGGAATCATCATTTTAGGTTTTCTTAGGTGGTGCAGGATTTTGTCCACCCACAGTGGGACATACTAGTAACTATGCTCTCCCCCCCCCCGCCCTCCCTCACCATCCCTTCGCTACGGCGACGCGACGGGCCGCCCGGGTCGAAGTCGCGGGAGTCGCGGGCGTCGCCTGAGGCTCGCGGTGGAAGTGGGACACGCGGTAGCCTGGCCCGCGGCAGGTCTTCGTGATATTTCGGGAAATAAAAGTAAAGCCATCCTGCCAACCATGCGACCAGCTGCTGTGGCCCACGGCCAAGTCGAGCTTCCCTGACTTTACTAGAGAATTGTCTCTGTCAACAAGCCTCGGGGCTTCCTAAAATGTGACGTTTCGGGGATCCATCTCTTTTCTGCCTTCAACAGCTCCCCCCCACCCCAAACCCACTCCGCGCGAGTGACTCGCTCGGCTTAAAACGTGGCTGGGGGCGCCCAGGGACACCAGCGTTCCCCGGAACTGCCTCAACGGCACCTGCCGCGGCTGGCTCCAAAGGCGAGGGCACGCGAGAAGCGAGCCAAACCATCGTTGTTTCTCGGAGTTCCAGCGACCTGAGTGGAAAACCTGGCTGGTGACCTGCGCTGGTAACTGGGATCTGGCCACTCCAAGGCAAACAGGCACATCGCAGACTCAGAAACCAGGAACAAACCGAAAGAAAAAGCGGGGAGGGGGGCGGAAGCAACCGCAAAACCCGCCAGGGAGAAAGTAGGAAAGAACTGCCGAAGGAAAAGAGCGTGGGAAAAAAACTACACGCAGCCGAGCGTACAATTCCCATCGCAGGAAGATACCGGCCGGGGTCTAGCTTCCTGTTTCGCTTCGGATTCCCTTGCCCACAGAGAGTGGCAACCTAAAACCAACTGACTGTCCACATGAACCTCTCAGTGCCTCCAGCACCTCTCCCTTCCACAAGCCATCTGATGTAACCCCACTGACAAAAACTTGTTTTTTGCAGATCCCCGAGTTGGGGACCTTCTTGGCCGAGCTCCCGGATCCGGCTCCCGCCCAGGGATGGCCTGTAGGAATCCCCTTCTTGGCAACCTAGCCTACAACCCACTTACAAGTCCCCTGTTCAGTACTAACTTGGCAACGAACCTCCAAGTACTGAGCCTCAAACAAGTCCCCTCGCAGAAATACATATATATATATATATATATTATATATCCAGTAGTGATAGATCCCGGGGGAATAACCAAATATCATTCAGCAAGTGGAAGGCTATGAGCCGATTCCCTTGGCTTCTGCTTCCCTTTGCGCCTGGTTCACCTTCAATGCCTTGCAAAGGCTCGGGAGCTTGTAGTACAAGGCCTCAACTTGCGGTTCCCCCCGAAGGAAGGGGCGTGCGCGGGCGTTTTTTGGATCGGCTCTTAAGGGAAACCACCAGGGCTGGTTCCCAGACGCGTTACGCGGTGTTCAGCGAACGGGCGGTCTCCTATTTTGGAAAGCACCCACATGGGTGTGTCTCATGGTAACCCCGAACCCCCCGAATATGGATGTGTCAACACCTACAGTTTCTCGTGGCCAACCATGCGGAGGTCCTATTGTTTTGCTCGGACAAATAATAGCAGAGCAACAAACATCAGAAAAAACAGCACTTGATGCATGCCGGCTAAACGAACACCCTGCATCAAGAAGTCTGGGATTTGCCCCAGAAACACATGAAAAAGCGTCCGTCACACCCAACATCCAAGAAGGCCATCGGAAGAGAGTTGGATTGCACAAACTGCTCGAAAACGCACCGATGCTCATCTGAATTTCAACCCTATACCAAGAAGAGTCAGAGTCACATATACATCGCACACAAAGCCCTAGTTTCCATCACTGCACACAATTGACCCACACCCCGCAGCGGCTTTTTGCAACTGAGCATGCTTTGCCGCGCTCCGGGCTTGGTGGCTGAGTGGTTGATTGATGCGCTGAGCCAGGCCACGCCTGATATGTGGCTTGACGCGCGCGAGTCAAAACCTCAGGTGCTGAAATATGGCAAAAGGATGTGGCACAACCTGCTTCGGCCATCCACTTTGGGCGTCTGCTGGTTGTCGGCTCTTAGCTTTTACTCAAAGCAATTCGCGGCAGGCGCCCAGCAACCCGCTCTGAGGCCCTGTTTAATGCCTCGCCCTTGGAAACGCTGCGCTCTGCACCGAGCTCCAGCATCTGGAATACCAGAAAGCGTTCCTGATAGGCATGTGTTCAGAATCCGTGTATCACTGCAAGCCGCTGTTGGCACATATATGCGTACGTGGCGCAAGCCCTGGATGTCACGCTTGCTTTTCCAACAAGCAAAGGAGGTGAGTTTTTTTGAGGGAACCCTTCTCAAATTGGTTTAAAGAACATGCAAAGGGAACACCGAAGCCATTTGGGGTCGCCCTCAGACTGGAGCTGCGACGCCTTCCCAAATCAGAAAGGCTTACGTCCTCGGCAAGTCACGCGCCGATTCTTTTCACCGGCTCCCGCCAGAACGGGGGGCAGGCTCGATTGGTCCAACCAGAGCCTCTTTTTGCCGGCCCATCCGAAGGCTCAAGCTGGCAGCAGCCAATCTGCTGCACCCAGCGATCGCCCAACCAATCTGGCCGCGCAAGAAGCAGGGCGTGTCCCAGTCACTGCTTAGACACGTTGCTATATCCAGCATCGCCCCGAAGTTGTGCCACCTTGTAGTCAACTGACACTTTCTGTTGAAGGAAAAACTTGCCAGCGCCCTCTGCTCCTTTCTTCGAGTACTGATGGGTTGCAAGTGCCAACCGGACACGGGTTCAGGCACTGGTGGGGCACACACACACACACACTTCGCACAGCAAGGGTCCAATGCATGGTGCCGGAAGTGAAAGGGGGACGAGGGCTTTACAGGAGCCCGAGGCAAGTGCATGGGTGCGCTGCAAACCCTTTGCAGTGGCACCGCACGATTACGCAACATTCCGCTAGGGCTGGTAAACCGGCAGCCGCGTGGCAAAAGCGGCAAAATCAGCGCCGGTACTGTTTGACTGCAATCTTACATGGAGGCATTTCCTGGTGACACGCGCGGGCCGCTTAGGAATTCCAAGGCTTTGCTAGCGTAGCTGAACCCATTGCCTCCCAGAGTTTCTAGATTTTGCTTGGGGCGCGGTCTGCGTTTGAGGCTTTGCGATTCGGGATTGGGTTCGGGCTTCGGATCACATTCTCTTGGGCGAACGCGTGTCAAGGAAAGGATCGGACCGCCATCAAGCCATCAGGTCTCTCATGGCACGCATGTCATGACTTGCAAGAATAGAGAGTCATGAAAAGGACAAGTGCTGAGCTGCTGCTGGTCGCCAATCTCTGAGTTGGCCCACATCAATGATCTAGGGCCGCTTAGGATGTTGAATCAAAAACCCTCAACATGAACATCACACTTTGCCCCGGCACGGATGCCGCGCAAAAGCGTGGCCAGCAGTGTGGGACGGCTTGCTTTGCACAGAGCCACGTGCTGGCTTTCACGTGGATCTTGCCCGGTGCAGTGGTCGAATCGCGTGCGAAGTCACCCACGTCTCAAGTGAAGACATCTTCTACGCTGGTTGGCGAGGGCGGTGCAGCACACCACGAATGTGTACCAGTCCAAGGAAGATCTTGCACTTCCTCCAAGCGGCCTCCAAAGCCAGCCAACAGCCTGTACACAACGGCAACCGCAAGGCGCTCGTCTTCCGCAGGCTTTGGCTCCACAGGGACGGCCTATGAGGCAGAGGCGGTGGAAACCGAGCAACGAAATGCATCACATGCTGAATGAGGAGCACTGAGCGCATGGCTCTCACGCAAAAAGGCCACATCCAAATCAACATGCCATACACTGTTTTCACGGCAAAGGGTCCAAGTACTTTCTAGGAGGCACTTGCTTTCTCTTACTCACTCCTGCCGGGCCTTCCAAAAAAGGCCTATTGCAGGGTGATGGGGCGTTCCTACCAAGGGATAGCGTCTGAGAAACCATTGACGAAATGGTGGAAAGCCCACGTTTACCACGGGAAGTGCAATATTTGCTTGCCAACTAAACTGCGTGTTTTGCTCTCTGCTTTCTTTTCTTGGAATCCCCAAGTTTTGACCGCGCTTGGTCCTGGTGCAGCCGGAACCCAACTGCTACTTTATGGCAGGCACTGTTCATGCAAGCTCCACAAGTTGCTCGTGCCAGGTCCAGGTAGTCTCAAGTTCACGTGTGATGTTCACAAACGGCCAGCACCTGCGAGATGGCGTCCGCCTTTCTCGGCACCCGCTCAGTCTCTGGACCCTGATACTCCTCCATGGCTGCAAGCCTCAAGGTCCGAACGGCTTCTGAAGCCGAAAAGGGCTTTCCAAACATTCCAATCAAGATCCTTGGGTCACTTCTTGAACCCCCCCTTGTAAGGGAGATGTGACCCCTCTCAAAGACTGTTTTGGAGACCCCTTCACTTTCCAAGGAG